GAACAAGTGAGGAACATACTGAAAACAGAAGGAAAGAAACACAATGTTTCGGCTGTGTAGCCCTCTTTGGCACCACAGCCGAAAACTGTTTCTTTTCTTCTCTTTTCAGCATGGAATAAACCTTTACTTGTTCCTTTGCAGCCTGCGTATGGTGATGCAGCTTCCTTCTTGAACTACATTTAAAGCAAGTGAATTAAATGGTTAAAAAAAGGTTAAAAGGCCAAAGGTTAAAAAATGGAGATTATCTGACTATATTATAAAGTGTCAATACTTCAAAAGAAGAACTCGTCTTTGTGTTCCTTGTGCTCTGTGTCATTAGAGTCCAAAGGATGGGCTTGCTTTAGCTGAGATTTTTGTGTTTTGAACATACTTTTTGAACATTTTTTTTTAAATGCCAAAGCGGTGAGAGCATGGTGTTTGGCTTCAATGGTAAAATGATTCAGATGCATTTCAGTAACCTCTATAATAAGCAATGGTTTGCTTTATAAGCCACTGGAATCGCCACTTAACAGTACCCATTTAGACCTAGGTCTGCATCAAGGGCTTATTAAAAATATTTACATGAACTACTGTATGTGGTGGCCTGTCATGGCAATATCATGGTAAGTCACAAGGCCCTTTACACGTAACTACTAGATTCTGCTAGTTTTTTAATTAGTTGAGTGGTCCGTAATTAAATTGGATAATGCCATGGAAAAGTTAAAGAGTGTTAGCAAATGCTGATTTGTTGTGATACAGTATTAAGGTCATTAAGACCCATCTCATGCTTCCTGTTGTAAGTAAACTTCCAATTAAACTAATGTAAAAAAAATGTGTAATGTGTAACTTGGTTGTTGCATAATCCTAGTTCTGAATTATACTTGTATCTAGATTTCAGAGTTCAGAAAGCACACTTCTCGCAGAAAAGCCATGTGCACTGTGCATCTTGACCACGTTCAGTTTTCCCCAGTTGTGCCCTTTTTCTTACCGATATGAAAAGAAAGTCGCAGTTTTAATCGTCTTCCTATTTCAGTTTCAAGACTTAGTGATGAGTTTATACTGGGCAATAGCATGAACCTCTGAGAAACAAATGACCACAAGAAAGTTCCCTGTTCTTAATTTTGCGAATGTCAGGAATGGGTCGGTGAAAACCTAAATCTAGGATAGCCAGCGGCTATATCACTCTGCTACTCCAGTGAATATCACCCCACTGAGGCTCGGCAGGTGGGAGCCTGGCCAGTGCCTGGATGGGAGGTTTCCTGGGAAAGCTGAGGCTGCTGCTGGATGAAGTGTTATTGGGACCGGTAGGGAGCGCTCATCCTGTGGTCTGTGTGGGTCCTAATGCCCCAGTATAGTGATGGGGACACTGTACTGTAACAAAAGGTGCCGTCCTTCAGATGAGATGTAAAACCGAGGTCCTGACACCCTGCAGTCATTAAAAATCCCAGGGTGTTTCTCGAAAAGAATAGGGGTGTTATCCTGACCTTTACCATTTATGGCCTCCTAATAATCCCCCTCTCTGAACTGGCTTCATTACTCTGCTCTCCTCCCCACTGACAGCTGGTGTCTGGGGACCGTTCTGGCGCACTATGGCTGCCATCTCGTCATCCAGGTGGGGTTTCACACTGGTGGTGGTGGAGGGGATCCCCATTACCTGTAAAGCACTTTGAGTGGAGTGTCAATTTTGAGTTGTTGGCTGTGTGTGTCATGGGTGGTCAGTTCTGATTGGGGGAATCCAAAGTCCAGTGCATCTTACAGGCCGCCTTTAACCCACGAACCCTTAAAATATGGAAGTTTCATTTTATCCGCTCCTAGGGGTTATTTCTGAAAATCCCCAATGCCAAGTAGTGATCAAGGATTGCATCTGGCTGTTCCTGGCTTAGCGAATCAACTAACTAAATTGATCAAGACCAAGAAGTGTTCGAAGTCTTTAAAAATTGATGATTTACAGATGTAACTTGTAAGCCTAATTTCTGATTTTTGCACTTTTGCGGTACAGAAGTTATCCACTTATTATCAGTACCAGTAATCAGTATGACTAAATTCTTGGATTTGCCAATAACTAGCCAACTATACTGTAGTACCGGCTTTCTTCTGACTTGGTCCCAGTGATTGTGCCATTTATCAGCTTACTGTATCTCTAGAAACAAACACCTGGGACACTATTGCCCTTGAAGTATGCTGTTTTTTCCTACAAAGAGGCTCAGGCAAGTCAAATTTGTTCATTGTTTTTGTTACTGGGTTTAAGGGTTTAAGGATCAGGCTTGAAACTTTAACAAACAAAAGCAAGATGAAACTCCTTAATAAAAATACAAGTATAATAATAATTTAACATGAGCAATTCCATGCAGAACACCAAGATTCTTTACATATAAGTGGGGTCCTACTTCATCCACCATTACTGCCATTAAACACAGCGGTTCTCATTTCTCAGGAATGAGAAAAGACTTTACCATTTGAAATAAGGTGAAATGTTAAGAAGGCCAGATAGTATAGATTGTCCCAGACTAACACTCCTACTCTTTGGAAGAAGACCCAAGAAGATTATCTCTAATAATTGAGTATCCAGGGCCTCAGTTGAACCTCTCATCTGAAGAGTGGCACCTCCTACAACAAACTGCCCCAGTTGCCCCGCTGGGGGCAATGGGCTGGAAATTATGGTCCAGAAGGAAGACTGTTGCTTCTAGCCATTTCAGGATTGTGACATCAGAACTGTGGGGGTTTAGTTGTGCTGTCATTGTGGGCTGAACCATAGCTGACACACATGAGACGCTATGAGGGAGCGCCGAATCATGGGTAAAAATACATGTCTGAAAAGTGCTTTGGTAGAATTCCCAAATTCATTGAGTTTAATGTTTCATGCTGTGGATAACGGCAATACTTCTTTATGGTACACTACCAAGAAAAAAATATTGCAAAAAGGACTTAAAGTCACGCTTACATTCCTATTTATATACTAGAAAAAGTACCAGGCATTAGTCACTGAAGGTAAAAACTGAGTGGTACAGAGTAATGTAAAACACAAAATAAATATTTCCAGGTTGTCATTCATTGCTGAACCATAATTGTAAATAAAACATTATGTACTGTGCATTATGCTAAACTAAAGAAATCAGCACAGACATGAGGTCTGATAGTAGAGGATTGCACAGTGTGTTGTATAAGCAAGGAAATTTCATCACTAACTGTCATTAATAAAAAAAAAATTCCAGATTCTGTCCAGGTTTTCAGCTTGTGAAATTTTTGATGATCTGAGCCACAGGCTACGTGAAGAGAATATCAAACTTTGCAGCAACAGTTCTAATGATAATCATTCCGACAGGGATAGAGGTGAACTCGGTACAAATGGAATGAGACTTTATTGTGTGAGAAGTGGTTCCTGACTATTAACGTGCATTGAAAACAGAGCGTCGACAGTCTTTGCTTTGCGACCGTGATCAGTTGTACTACAGGGTGTTCATTCATTAGATGAGCAGTGTAGGGGTACGTTGGTGTACAGGGATTCCTGAATTATGCTTAATCACGCTTTTATGGTAATAGGCTACAGGGGAAAAATAATTACTTGAACCTGAACCCTTTCCGCGAGTGTGCCTGTTTGTGTGTACCCTGTCTTGGACTAGCGTCCTGTCCAGGGCGTACCACACCTTGCGCCCGTTGCTTGCTGGGATAGGCTCCGGCTCTAATGCATTCCGGTATTGGACAAAGCTGTTAGAAAATGGATGGGTGACCTCTTTCCTTCTTGTGAACAAGGACAATTCTTCTGGTTTGTGCCTTGTCCGAACATAATGTACATGTAGCATTTCCATGCTATCATTATAACTTCTATATTTGCACCTCCTCTTCTTGGTTCTTGAACAAATTGTCACAGAGACCCTGAGCCAAAAGTAGTATATAATCTATTGGAATAATGCCTTTACCCAAGGTGACATAAAGATTACAATTAGAACAATATACCATGAGTACAATACAAAATGGGTAAACGCTAAGCTTTTGCATAATGCAGTTTCTGAAACTGTTGAAACTGTTTTAGATAGTTCAAGAAATAATACAGAACAAAATGCATTGTAACAAAAGTACAATATATGCATTGAACTGGGTTCTGTACAATAGTCAGTGGTTCTCGGATTGCAGTCAGAAGAGATCCATGGTGCGGACAGGCACTAGAAGGTTAAAGATGTTACAGCAAGATTGTTTATAAAGATTTAGGACCTTAAAGAAGTATTCGTACTGGTATGTGCGTTTTAGAATCACTTGTCTGGCTCCTGGTTTTAAAAAATATGCTCATCTATGTTTTTGAAATTGGATTGTAATGCTGAGTATTAGAGCAGTGGTAAGTGGGAGGTATTCCCACAGCTCATTAATTGAATCTCTGGTGGAAGAGTTTAAGGTAGCTTGGGGGAGTAATCTAATTTGAAACCCTTTTAACAGTGGTCTTGGTATTTTGAGTCATAACCTCAGCCGACGATAGGGTGTAATGGTAAAAAGCCGACTTTCAAGACAACAAGAATATGGAACACATTCACATTTATTTACTGCAGCTGTTCCAAAGACGGCTCAACTGGCTGGCACCCTCCAGGCCCCTGCTGGAAAGAGAGCTACCCAGTAGAATTGTCTTCAAAGCTAAATATTTTACAACGTGATGTAGCTCTCTCCTGCAGCGGCTCCAAGAATGCATGTTTTTCAGCAGCCTCTATGCAAGTTTACTTGCGTTTCTCAGGGTAGATAAAAAGATGAGGCACACAATCAGTAACTTTCTAGCTTCTCTGACCTTGGTTCTCTGACTAATGTTTTGATACTCAAGAACACACTTTCTTTCATGCTTTCCATCTTCTTCTAGTGTCTTTTTTTTTCCCCCTCACAATCGTCCCCTTTAACCCTCGGTCTGCTCTGCCTTCCAGATGGCCTCCCAGGGTAATAGTAGCAGGCCAGCACTGATACTGAGCCCACATGCAAGCTGTGTATAGGCTATCGGTTAGTCTCCTATGCAGTTGCTGATGGGACACCTGTTTTTGTTCTTGTAGATGTCAGGTGAGCTGGAAAAAGCTCGGGATCTCTACCTGGAAGAGGCAGCTTTCCGACTGTTCTGCAAGCAGCTCGTTCTGCACTCCCAGGCTCTCGGTGATGGATGGGTCTGGGAAGACATGAAGGTACTGTGTGTGTGTACACTGCACTGTTAAAACAATCATTTATTTCAATTGCTGAACAATGTACGGCCAGGATTCAGCATTTGTGATACTTTTTTTTTATTTTTTTAAGGGTGCCTGAAATAAAATTAGTTGTGCTCTTTAAGTGATCGATGGGTTTTACTGCAGGAGTCCGAAGATGGTTACATGAAGAAAACTCTCCTAAAAGCTGGTCCGGTCAGCGCTCCCTCCAGGGACTGTGGCCAGAGGAGCCCCAGGGATGAGCCAGCCGAGCTGGAGCTTGAAGCCCAGGTAAATGCTCAGTTTGTAGGCTGTTGGAAAGGCCAGCGGGTCGGAAAAGTGCGCAAAAGGTTTTGCCAGCGAGAGGATTACCTCTCTACAGCTCGAGAGTACCGCAATCGATTGTGCGCGTCCACCGGTTTACAGCATGTACTGCTGCTTTACCTGCATGAAAACACTTGCTGTTCTTGAGGACTTGAAGGCGGCTGACCAGTTTGTCAGAAGTTGAACTGTGATTTATGCGTCTCCAGCAGGAGGCTCTTGACGAAACCTCTGTAGTCGTCGCAGTCTCTGGAGCGCATCTTTGAGAGCCTTTGTGGTGACTTTGAAGAGGCTTGGCGATGGCGGGCCACACACCGAGCAAGGCCACGCAGGGTCCAAATGGGATTGTTTTTTAAAAAGTGAAAATACAAAACACAACAGTAAAAATAAATAAATAATTGACATCACCTTTCAATGTGTGCTAAAATGAGGGTGCATAGTTGTAATTAATAAAAGAAAACATTGCTTCTTCGGCTACCTCTGAAGAATCTGACATATTAACCGTGAAAGAAATGCACTCTTTGAGGAGTTTTCTAGCACTTAGTGGTGTGCCCTGTGATCTTTGTGTCATCGGGGACAATGGTGTTTCATTCCAGCTCTGTTGTTTTTAGTGCAGGATTAGCTGATGTATCTTGTGGTTAGCAAGCTGTCGGATCAAAGGATGGTAACTCCCATGATAACATGAATTTTACTTTTTAATTTTTTTTAATGCAATTGTTTTTTTTTTCTGTAATTCGCGGCATAATGTTGTCATCCTCTACTACTTAGGAAGCTGCTGAGGAAGAAATCAAGAAATTAATATCTAGTGCATATTGCTGTCTCTACTGAAATACTTATTTTTTCTACTTCCATAACCTCTTCTCTTTTTGTTGTGTGTGCAGGATTGAAACTACTTTATTTTTACATCTGTTCAGTGTTGTCAAATCCTAACACCACTTAGACATCCAGACTCTATAGTATGCATCTTTTTTTCATATCTCATCCCTGTCTTATACTGTAGTTTCCATTATTAATAGAATATAGAAAATTTGCAGAGTGTGGGAACAGAGGTAAGTCTTCCACCTCAATCATAATTCCCCTTTGCATACATTTTACACTTTCACACCACTTGTCTACTGGGGGGAAGAGGAATATTAAAGACCTACAAAATGGAAGAAACTGGACAAGGAATATTCAGGACTTTTTTTTTCCATCCCTTTCCTTTTGTGATGGAGACTTGGTCTATGTCAGACGTCCTGTGCAGCGTCCTGTGTAGTCACTCCTCTGTAAGTTCAGGAAGGTCTACTCTCCAGTGAACAATGGGGGAAAAATGTAAGCCATTAATGTGTCAAGGTGGTCTGCCATTCAGGCCCGAAGCCTTTTCATGGGGGCAGTTAGTGTGTGGCAGGGTATAGACAGGCCGAGGGTATGTGGGCTAGCTGTGAAGAGCTTCTTTGGGGATAGGCCTGTATGATCTGAAGGGTTGTAATTATTACCAGTCCTTAGAGAAACGCACGTGACCATTAGATTTGTGGCCAGCAAACTAGTGGTGAGTAACACGTTTGGGTTTTTGCGTCCTGAACGGATTAAATTATTTTGATTGCTTCTCTCCCGTAACCTAAACCCTAGGGGCAGCTGCAGGTTTTTTTTATTGTTTTGCTCTATACAGTTCTCCTCTCTTCTTTCTGATACAAACAAGGAGGCCTGAGCAAAAACTCAAAAAGGAAAAATCTGTGCGTTTCTCACACATTGTACCAATTATCTGGAGGAAGCTCCGAGAGAGCCTTTAACTAAATCCTACAATTTATATTTGAGCTCGGTTTAATGCTGGAAAATCTGGCTAATGCTGGCATATGTTTTTATGTGCCTGTTTTTGCATACTTGCTTGTGTGTGCACGTTTTACATATGGTTTATACGGGTTTGGTATGTACATATTTCCCATGTGGGGCTCTTTTTGAATTTTCTGTATTCATAGTTAAAATAATTGCGCTTTGCAAAAAAAAACAACCCATAAAAGTCCGTATGTGGTTCAGAATTATTTCCTTCCTCATCCACAGCAGTACTGATGTGATTGATACCAGTTTATCTGACTGACGACGGGCTGTCTGATTGTCTGTCATAGCCATGGAGATTTTTTTTCCTGTTCTTGTAACCAGGGCTGATCGTGCATTTCTGGAAATATATTATCAGCATTTTGGGACTACAGGACAGTACTGTAAATATTTGGTAGCATGTCGGCTTCGCCACTTGCATTTCAATTACAATGTCGGTAAATGTGTCTGGTTTGAGGAATAAAAGAGTTTTGTCTAGTGCTTCCTCTGGGGCACTGGCTTTCTGGATTCATTAATGACCATCGCCAGTGACCACAAGGGACACGTTTCATTCCTGTTGAAATTCTGGTCATATGTGAGTAAGAGGGCAGGTATTTTGTTGCTTTATCTGAACTAGATTGTAACTTGGACGATATTATTAATGACAATGTAAAACATTCTGTCGAGAGTGCTCTGTCGTCTGCCACATGAATGTTAATTTTCGCTGCACTTGTCATCCCTTAGCAAAAGCAACAATAGGTCAGGAAATTGATTTCTATGTCTGACAGGCCGGACTTATTAGAATCATCATTTTTTAATAATCTGCGTCCACCTCCATCCAGCCTAGTAGCGTGCAAATCTGTTAAGAAATTCTCTTCGCTTTTGGAGCTGTGATCTGAAACGCTTAGCCGCAGAATCCTGGAAATAAATATCAAAATGGACAACAGGAATTCATTTTGCTAGAGAGAGTTCGGCTCATGCGATTGATTTAAAATCGTAAGAGATAAACATCACCTGGTTGCAAATTTTGAAAAACGTTTTTTTTTTTAATTCCATCGTGCTGGCCCATCTGAGAAGAAGCTGGTGGACAACCAGGAGTCCAAGGAGTGTGCACCAGTCAGGGATTTTCTGAAATGAATGAGATTTTTTCTTATTTGAGCTCTGCAAAGGATGTTTTCTTGGATGTGTTTGTCTGAGGGCTTTATCGTTTCCAGATTCTTACAGAATGAGTGGCATGATTCCCCGGTGCCAGAATCTGGCTCTTTCCAACCTAGAATACCTGGCAGTTTCTTGTGATAGGGAAGAACTGTCATAATGCAGATAACGGTGATGCTCAAGACTCTACAGAGGTGTCCACTGTAGAGGGATACCCAGCCTTTGTCCTGGAGGGCTTGTGTGGCTGCAGGTTTTCAAGATCTGTTTTAAGTACCTGGATGGCTGAGAGAAGTTTTGAAACTTGTCCAGTTAAGGAGGATGGAGCTTGATAAGAGTGGACTTGAAATGAAAACCCGACCAACCCTCGAGGACTGGGGTTGGACACCCCTGCTCCAGTGTAAGGGCTGTTTGTTTAATATCCTCATCCAAACCGATGTGCAGGACTGAGCAGCAGCTACAGGAAACTTTTGGTCGAGGTTGTTGCTGCTGAAGGAGGTTTCTCAAGTTACTACATCTAAAGGTTCACATACGTTTTCCAGCACAGACAGTGAATGTTCAAACAATGTGTTCGATATAGACAAGAAAAGTACAATTGTATTATTTATTTCAGTTTGTGTTTATGTATTATTATAATTTTAGATGAAGATCATATCACACATGAGTAGCAATTAATGCAGCAATGCAGATGATTCCAAAGGGTTCACAAACCTTTTCTCAACTGTATTTTGACACAATTCCTTATCCTTAAGATGACACTGGGTTGTACAGTGGTTTGTAACCCTCAGAGAGCACATCGGATCTACTGTACATACAAAGTTGGATAGCTTCTTCAGTGAGCTAGTGCCTTTTTCTTCCACTCCACAGAGCGTAAGTGCATTGCAGACTAACTGAAATGTCCTGGAGCCTTAAGGAAACTGCTTTGTAAATCTGCCCGGGACTATGAGTTTGAATTATGTACTGTTGGGAAACGTGTCTGCTCAGGCCTCACACACGTACCCAGAGAGACTATGCACATGTGGCTTATCTGAGGCATAAAATCTCCATTTTTGGGGGTAAGCTGAATGTTTGTATGATGACATACTATATTACCTAAGAATTCCTACAGCTCATCATCACTAATTAAATTTAAGAAATAGGTAAGAGCTGAACCCCACCAACAAAAGCACAACTCATTTGGACTTGAACTTGGCTTCCTTCATAGATGAAGGGGTCCAGTGTCCTGGGTGTGATCTGAGGCAGGGGAGCTTTCTGTGTGAAGCTGTGTGCATGTTCTTCCCCTGTGTGTATGTGCGCCCTCCAATGGGCATTAAATGTACTGCTACAAAATAAACATTAAAATGCCCCAATCATTACTAACTGTGATTATTGTACTAGTTCAAAGCCACTTCCAAGAAAATCATGCAAAGTTCTGAACTGCCTTCTCTTTGCACCAAGTTTAAGATTTATACTTCACTATATTATAGATTCACAGTTCAAGGTATCAAATTTAGTAGGGAATTCAAATTTATACTTATTTCTATATTATAGTTGTATTTATTGAATTAAATACCCAAGAAGTACAAATGTATCTATCATGCTAATAAAAAGAACTGCTGTGGAGCTGAATTCTATTTTTTGGTGGGTGATCATAAGCAACCAGAGCCCCCCTGTTTGTGCCAATTTGGGATTCGAGGACTGACTGTGAAAATTAGTTTAAAATCCAGGTTTTCTTACTTGTATCACATTTTTTTTATACATCACAGGATTAAATAATGTAATAAGAGTATTTGAACTGTTAGCGTTAGATGTTTTTAATGTGGTTTCAGTATATGTTTCCAAAACAAATGAATTTTTTCTTCATTGCTTCTTGTCTGTCATCATGTTACTGTTCTGTGAAGACTTTTTGTTTGATAAGGTAATTGTGGTTCCACACCCCATCATCAGGCTCATGACTTCTGCTGGATTTCTCACTTTGAAGTTTTTGACATGTCAGAATTATTGAAGCTCAGCAGGAGTGAGCCTGGTCAGTACCTGGATGGGAGACC